AGGAAGTGCAAAAGTGCGCACAATAACATGTCATTACCGTCTTCCTTGGAAGACGGTATTGTATAGTTGAAGTTTTTTACAGTCTTCGGACTATGCACTTCCTCTCTTTTGTGATTGGTAGAAAACGCATGATGAGAAAATTTTCAATTATTTCATTGGTTGAAATGCTGTTCAAGGCAATGGAGATAACTTTCTGATGATCTAATTTTCGTACGACTTAATAATTTTGCAAGATTTTCAACCTTAAAAAAAATGACAAAACGAACAACAAAATCAGCAGTAATAAATTCCGAATAACATGATTTTTTGTATAGCAATAAATAAAAAGATCTCTTTAATTTCATTATATATAAAATTTGATTTTTATTGCTTGCAGGCTTTACAATTTGTTATTATTCTTTTCCCCTTTCTTGTTTGAAGAAGGGAATGGAATCAGCCGAGGTTTGCCGAAAGCTCTCGGCCAGTCAAAGTTTACGGAGATGACCGAGCGACAACTGTGGTAGGGCTAATGCCAGTAAAAAGCTAATGCAGAAATACAAAATCAAGAAATTCACAAGAATTATACGGCCTGATTGGTGTAGATCAGTTTACTGTTTAAGATTGTTGCTAACGACGGTAAGCTTTTTTTTTTTTTAAAAAAAGCTCTGCTTGTTATATTTTCTTCCTCAGAGGTCGGAAAAACAACCTCGTCGTTTTTCCGCTAGTCGGAAAGGCCCGAGAAGTTGCGATTGGTTGTTTATCGTGAAATGGCTTAAGTATTTAGTTGAGAGAAAACACCCTTTGTTTGAAAGCGCGCGAAAATAACAAGACAAGAGCTGGTGAAATAAAGAGGAGTCGCCAAAACTATGACGACACTATATAAATAGCCTACTGCATATAAATAGCTTTAAGGAATCTCGGCACACAACAGAGTCATTCGAAGTTTGCCGAATGTATAGCACTGGTTCTCTGACCTTGATTCCAGTCGCTGCCGCTAGGAATTATTTAATTAATTATTGGTTTTTCAGGGCGCTTGCGCCCGTTAACCAATGTCAGGGTACCAGTTTACCGAATGTAATATTAAACACATGCGGTTAGCACGCGAACTTGCACACAATATTATCATGATTTAATTATCGTAAACAAACATTAGAAATATTTACAAGGATTATTTTACATACAAATTATGAAAATAGTATTTATAATCAGTATAAAACTATTTCTATTTTATCATAAATGCACACTCATCCCGCATAAAATTCCATATCTGAGGTCTGTTCAGCAGAGCGAGGGTAATTTTGGCGAGTGCTCGCGAACGTACGCTCTGCTGAACAGGCCTCTGGCATCAACTCATACACCTCTAAAAATCTTATTTCATTTGAATGGGCCGGCTCGTGTCCATTCAAATTTGATGTTGTTTTACTGTGAATTCTTGGATCCACGCGTCAGCCGCAGAGGATCTTTGCACACGCGCCGACCATCATCTACGTAATAGACTATACATGAGAACATTCAGTGCACGTGTATATTTTGAAGAACCCCGCCACGCAGGCAATGTGTGCCCAGTCTGACTCTCAATGATTTATGTGCAGTTTGTTTTCTTTCTCAATAATAAGACAGAATCGCTCATTGTTTACATCTCCATCTATATTTAGAAAATCGCATCATCATTAAACTGACCAGTCGGTAATCCTCAGGTGGCTTCACACTTTTTGTATGAAGGAAGGATATGGAGATAACGAACAGTATTCAATCTCAAAGTCCATAAAACAATACAAAATAGGAGCCGAGCAAATACGGACCTCCGAAACATCAGAGGTGGGATCAGGTGCCATGGAAAAGTGAGCATCCCCTACTGACCGGACACCAGTTACACCCGCCGTGTGCTCCTTATCATACAAAATAATGACTTTAAACGAGACTGCTGATATTCTTGTTTCATCAACTTGCTCGTCAATAATTTACCTCGCCTTAGAAATTGTTCATACGTAGATCATGCTCTTGCGCGTATCGAATCAACTGAGATATATTTACCCCGTATGCAGCTGATGAAGGTATGTTGCTGCATAAGTAAAGGAAGTTGACGATAGAAAATTTAAGTCATCACGTTTATCATATAGCTTGGTTGTTAGGGTTATTATCGGCCGCAACAGCGGCCGATCTATTTGTGGTTGTGTTAGAAAGTGCACATGGGGAAATGAGATGTTATTTTTTTTATTAGTTCAATAAAATGATCTTAAATGATAACATGTATAAAATCATGAGTAAAATATTTTAAAACTTGCTTTAAATTAAGTTTTAATCGTTGTTATTCCGTTTCGATTACATCATCATTTTCGCATGAGATAATTGATAATTTATGGTTAAATAAAAAGAATTTACAATAGGTACTCCCCATCCAGGGAGTGTGTAAGATACAAAAGGAAATCGTCATGATTTTCCGGAAAAGAACGAGGTGATAAAAGTGCATGGTGAATAAAAATTGAAAAGTTGTTCAACAAGTAAACATTGTTTTGAATATGCTACAGTTACCAATGACACAAGGATTATTTTTCTACATTTTCACCGCACCATGCAGCATTGCCTACTCTGCAGAAACCATAGGCATTATCACGTGACAAAGATCCAGGGTACACTATCAGCACGTGGTTCATTTTGAGAGGCCTACACCTTCATTTTGATGACAATAATTTCTTTTCATTAATCAGTGGCTTTATAACATCGATGAATCCAAATGATGAGCAAATGCAATATTTTTTTTTTATTTTTGTGGATGCTTTTATAAAATTTTGAAAGTACTTCTTCAAATGCTAGATTTTGTTAGCGGCCGATTTGATGCTTTGCATCAATTTAACTTGTCATTATAATGTCCACGCAACTAGAATCAATGATATTAGGTTCTGTGGTTACTTTCAGTTAAGTTTTATTTAAAAAAAGATCTGCATTCTGTGCGAGAAACTAAAAAGTCAAGGTCGATGGTTTTTGTAACGACATGCTGACTTCATATTAAATAAGATCCATGCATTTCCTTGCGAAAAGTGATTTCCTACATAAGATAAAGCTCTCTTTTTAACATCCATTGTAATTTGTTTGGAGCTCTTTTACAGCTATGATTTCCACCCTGAAATTTGTAAATAAATACAGCGACATTAAGATTTGCAGTGGAAAACGTTTATCAACATTACAGTATGTTCATATAAAACTATATCTGCATATTTTTCGGTAAATACATGTATTTAAAAACCCGTGTGTGTATGCAAAGTCTTAGAGTTGACATTGGTCTTTAAATTTATATATAAATAATGTATTTAACTGCAAATTTGTAAGCAACATAAGAAATTCTTAATTGGCCATGTTTTTTTTATAGTAACTGAGAAGATTTGTGAAATTTTTAATTTATTGAGTTTACTTTTTAGCGAATTCGGCTCGGAAAGACAGTGTAAGTCAGAACTTCCTGTCAGTCTTATGCCAGAGTCACGTTTGAAATGACTGAGAACGCCTCAATTTTTTTTAATACAAAATGCCATAACGAAAACTGGAAATTCGTCGCCTCCACCTACTTTCTCGGGTTGATTTAGATACTTGCAAACCAAATTAAATGCAAACTGAATTCACAACGTATTAACAGTACAGTGCCTTAAGTACTCACTAACATCGTTTTAAGGTTTATTTAAAGAAGTCCAACAGTTCAATGAAAACATTTTTTTTTTCCAGACACCCGAGTTTTGTTTTCATTTCCTGCATTTTAAGATCTGACAAAACCTGCATCGAAGTATGAAGTGATTTATTTCTTTTCATTGATATTGGTGAGTACTATAAGCATTGTGATATTGATAAATACTGATTGCGGCATTTAGTTTAGTTCGCAAGTATCAAAAATCAGCTTAGGTTGGAGACGACGAAATTCCAGTTTTCGTGATGGCGCCGGTTCTGACGTTTTCTTGGCACGAAAAAATATTCAAATCGTAAATAGACAGGAAAACGTTAGATATTTCAGACTACACTTAACGTAGACACGACTGATTGATTGATTGTATACTGTTTAACGTCCTTCTCCAGAATATTTCACTGATATGGAGACGTCACCATTGCCGGTGAAGGGCTGCAAATTTAGGACTATGCTTTCGGCACTTACGGCCTTTGAGCAGGGAAGGATCTTTATCGTGCCACACCTGCTGTGACACGGGGCCTCGGTTTATACCGTCTCATCCGAAGCCCACATAGCTATGTATTGCTTTCGCCTTTGTTAATTATTTTTTCCCGGTATTAAGTCTTTAAATATTTCAAAATTTATAATGGATCATAATTCATATGTTTAAATATCCCTGCCATCTTATTTTTCTTTGATTATCCTTTATTAAGTAAAGTTACGCCATTTTGAGAGAATGAAACAATGTACGATTTACTGATTGTCGTAATTAATTAGCATAATTAATTCGTTCAATTATGTAAAGCATAAATGTTTTTCGTTAGAATACAAATAACATCTATCCTTATATGAAACAGATTTGTCAGTTTCTCTTGTATCTTTTATTTAAAACTCACTGGGATACACTGTGTCGCCATATAAATTGAAATATCTAATGTTAATTAATTGACAACTCGTCATTTTTATATATATATATATATATTTTGATATGAAGGCTACGGCAAGTGTTTTCCTGTACAAGATTCTGCACGTGATAAATTCTGCTTCATATCAAGACAACAACAGGTCTGTTAATAACGGATCTAAGGATAGAAAATCATCAAAGTACAGAGGTTATAGTATCAAGGAAAATTTCTTATAATGTCCCGAGACATCAGTTATTGTCGTCTGCTAGTATTCCTGTATGTCAAACATGCGTTTACCAGGTCAAAGCTTTTGGAATGAATGATAATTGTTATGAAGAGGTGATTTATTGATTTTTCCACCCCCTCTTTAATTACCTCAAAATGGGGCCATCATAATGTCTTATCAATCGGATGTTTACATAATCTGACTAGAAACCAAAACTTGCCTTAAGTCCTGCATTTCATTTACCTTTATCTCTAAACTAACGATCAGTGTACATACGGTGATAGTTACTGACAAATCTGCAAACACCTCTGGAATGTTAGACGACGAACAGATGCAAGCACAAATGGTAAGTCTTCACATTGCCTTAAAATTTCCTGAAAGCTGAATGTACAAATAGTGTGTATCTTTGTGCCATGGTTATATTTCTAAAGTTTAACCTGTTATATTATAATTCTAGTTGTAACGCTCTATTTGATTGGATAAAAAATTACTTTATATCGTATAAAATGGGTTGCCAACGCCACCATGTCTTGCGTCAAAAACGTATCAATCCGTCTGACGTTGCATTCAAATTTTGTATAAACTGAAGTCATTTTGTTAGAACAATAATTTTTTTTCTTACATCAAATGAATGAAAACTAAAATTATAAGCAATGAATTTAATAGCTACCCAATTATACGGTATAAACTTGGTTGGAACAGTTTACGCTTTTTTTATAAACCGCTTCGCGGTTTATAAAGCGTAAACTGCCCCAACCCAGTTTATACCTATAAAATGGTTAGCTATTAAATTCATTCCTTAAATCATTTAACTTTTCATGGATCTTAATCACTGAAAATAATATATCTGAAAAGGTTGATTGAATAACATAGCTATACAATAAATGTTATAATATTAAGACTAAAAGAGGAGAATGTAAAGTGAACTGAACTAAATAATAACTATAACACTTGTACTAATAAAAGCGAATTCTGATTTGAAAAGGCAATCCAAGAAGAAAAGAATCCACGTGTGTACAAAATTGTCAAGGAAATAAGCAGTCCAAAGAAATACATATTTGACATGTCCTATGTCGGTAATGGAAAAATAAGTCTTTCGCTGGATGATGATTCCTACAGAAGCTGGTATCCTGGTACGTACGTACCACAATATAGTGTGTTGCAAAATGGAGACATTGAACATTTATCATATAATGGATTGTACTCACTCTATTGGAAGTTCCTATCTGAAGGCTTCTTTTTATTCACCTTCCAGAAATCAGTCAAATATATATACTTTAATTCCAACTATCCTAATTCAAAATTAAATGTATCTGAGTTTCTTCCTGATCCTAACTACTTTGTACATGGCATGGCAGTGTGTAAACCATGTATAAACAGAAATATTGTAGTCAGTTTATGGAATGGCAAATTTCAAGAAAAATCTCAAGGAAAGATATTAAAATTTGAAAAATGTATTGCCTCGAACAATTTCCAACAAGTGTGTAATTTTGAAAATGATAAACATATCATTTTGTTTACATTTCCAACCCATTTAACAGTAAATGGTAACACAGACATTTGTGTTTCGGACTCAGGATCTGTTGTGGTAATAGATGAAAAAGGAGTTCTCAGATTTCGATACCGAGGTCTTTCTCAGGATCCTCACTTCGAGCCATACGGTATATGTTCAGATTCTGAATGCAATATAATCGTGGCTGATATGAAAAACGACAAAATACATATGATAGACCAGAATGGAGGCTTCATCTGTTTTCTGTACTATGAAGACATGAAAATGCCCCGAGCCTTGTGTATTGATGAGAATGATAATCTGTATGTCAGTGAGTGGAAGAATGAACGCATCAAGATCATTTCTTCCCAGTGAACAAAATAGCCACAGGATGAGAGGTCAATTCATTTTATCATATTTCAGTCTTTTGAATTTCTTTGAAAGTTTTAAAGACAACTAAAATATCCCTTGCAATATCCTATTTCTCCATTATGGAATCAGGGTTGTCATAAACATTTACCTCTAAAAGGGGGTGGATTGTACTTTCTACTTGTTGATGTTGGAACTAATTATGTAATGAATATATGCCGAATACTGTTCTATATGTAAAATTATCAGACTGTTTGAGGTCCGTTAGAGCCGAAAATTGTCTGATAATTTTACATATAGAATAGTATGAGGCATATATCTTACTTAAAACATTGCCATTTAAATGTCCAAGAGTTACCTGGAGGAGTCCGATAATAACACAATGGGAGCTTAGGGATCCATTGTTTTTTACCCGTCTGATAAGTAGTTAAAGTAGATAAAAGAAATAAGACAGTAAAAAAAGTTAGTGAACTCTTGTTTCATTTCATTCATTCAATGGCAGTCGTTTAGTTTAGCAGAAGGGTCCGGTGGAGAAAGATTTTTGGGGGAACAATTTTATTCATGTGCATAAATTGACATTGATACCGACATAATTTTGAGTGATATTATAAACATCACCATGGAAAGTAAAAATGCGGATTTTTACCCTGACGTTTTTGTTTAGATAATGGAAATGTTCTCAGGTTTTAAAAGTGTGGCCATCGGGGAACAAACATAAAATAAGGAGATTTGCAGACTCTTTTACAGAAATGGATTTAAATTCGCTTATTCAAAATGCTGTATCAAAAATTCTTTTAAAGAGTGGAAACTATTAATTTTGTGGAAGGTTTAAACTTGGATTTTTTTTTCGAGGATTTGCTTTTTTGTAGCAATTTAATTTCCTTGCGTTTGATTCCCTGAATTTGTTTCCTAACATTTTTATTGGGGGTTCCTGGACATATTTAACCTTAATTTCACTCTTCTTTTTGTTTTTTAAATACCGTCCGATTTTGTTATCATTGCCGTCCGATAATATATTATCAGACTGGTAATTATTATTATCGGACGGCTACAGGTAAATTTTTAGACTGCAAGAACAAAGGCATGACGTCACAGCAATGTTTTAAGTAAAATTATTTCAACGTGTATACATGTTTTGTAGCCTGTGATAATCTTTATTTCAGTGAGTAAAAGATTATGGTCATTTCTTCCCAGTGAAACATCTTCATGCTGACAAATCATAGATATTTTTTCCTAATACCGTTTACGGAAGATCAGTGCAGTGTTAACATGTTATATCTTATCAAATTATCACGTTTAAAAACATGGCGCCTACTAACAGTGATAATATAAATACATTGAAATATCAGTATCTCGAAGTTGAGGGGACCTGGGCACGACTTCGAGATATCAGGGGGTTCGAGATATCCGAAGTTATCTTCCAAAATAGATTCAATAGTTTCCCGATTTTTCTTATACATCTTCATGCAGAACATTATCCTGTTTTACCAAACATGTAGTCTTTACGGTAAAAATTCAAGCATATTCGTAATAAATATTAAGAAAAACAATGTTGGTGTTTTTTTTTATCGTGTATAGTTGTAAAAAAAATTTAATATACATGCCTATACAGCGAATTTACATTTTCCAGGCCATGCTTACGTGGTCAAACGGGATGTATCATTAGCGTTATAGTTAAAGAACCGTCTCCGTAAGAAAAGAAAAAGACGAATTTTTTAAAACTTCATTTGATGAAATTTAGTGCAAAATGTTATTTAAAACACAAAAAAAATAATCAGTATTTAAACTGTGAACTTGAATATTATTAATAGCTTACATTTATTACATTACGAAGTACTACTAAGGAACCACTCTCTACCATCCGCTCATACATTCATGTCTGAGAGAGGAACGAACGACAACTCTGCACGGGAGATTGCTAAGGAACATATAATTTACGAAACTAACAATGCAAATGGCGGTCAAGGTTATCTATTTATACGCAGATAAATATTGATGTAATCAATCACTGCACTGTGCATTACGCACTGCAACTTAACTGTTTAAGTTTGTATTTTAAAAATCTGTTTTATGAATTTACGATTTTAATTATACAGAGCATATTATTAAATGCAATATCGGTAATACTGTCTGTATTTAATTTTTGAATTGTTCTAAACCAACGCCCAAGCTATCATACAAATTACCGTGTCAAAGATACCCAACATGATCTTGGGATTAATTAAGATTCCCCCGGTTTGAAGGTGTTAAGTAATAGCCACTGGAGAGAAAGTGTGAAGTCACGACGCCAGGTATGTTCACTAGACCGAAAAATTCACTGCACTTCGAGATAAGCCAGGTAAAAGTAGGGCTTTGGACTTTGAATATACTTCGACATAAGCGGGGTATTCGAGATTACCGTGTTCGAGATATCAGGTGTTTTTTAAATCATAAATATAGAGAATACGGCCGGGACCAGCGTTCGACTTCGACATAAGCAGGGTATTCCAGATATCCCATGTTCGAGATACTGATATTTACCTGTATATGTATTTTATCAAAGAACGTGAGCTCTTATGACTCTTATCTATGTAAAACGATGTATGGAAAAAAATTACTTTTATTTATCTTAATCATTAAATTCAACCGTTGAATTCTTCAATTCTATCGCTGAAATTCATGAAAAGAGCAGTCATATAACAATGTTGTTGTTCGCCGACACTTGTGATTTCCTATAGTATATCGATGACGAATACAGTCATTCATTTCATTTTGGTTGTGATTTACTTGAATTAAAGGAAACATACGGAGATAACGAAAAGTATTCAAGCTCAAAATTCCATAAAAGAATACAAAATTAAACAGTAGCAGAGCAGGGGCTCCAAAACATCAGAGGTGGAATAGTTTATAGGACGTATTGGTGAAATACGTACAACTTTTCAATACCATTGCATATTCGTTCTTTATTAATTAATTAAAAAGGGAATTTTTATTCTGAGAGTTTTAGGTAATAAACGTAAAATAAAATGAAACTATAATATGCATTCCTCCGGAGTGAACAACGGGGATAATTTTATTTTTATTTCAGTTCATATTTAATCATTTTAATATAATTTATGTCTAAGGAAGTGAAGTTAGTGCATGTTTACTTGTGTCCGCCCGCATTAGACAGAGATAACCGAATTTTATCCTAATCTGTTGGATAGTTCAAAAATTGTATTTTCGCATGCTTACATGTATTACAGGTACTTGTTAACCTGAAATAGGTGGTTCGGAATTTCTTTTGTTATTCAGGTACACAGTATATAAATTTAACTATGCACGTTTTCTTATCTCTACTCTGTGAACTGTCAATGTGCAATGTAGAAACTATTGTAAACTTCTTTTTTATAAATCATAATCAAATAAATTGAAAAGAAATATTCAGACATAGTTTATAGCAGGTTATTGATATACATTTTACGAATATCTTAATTTATGGCATGTCACCATTTATAGATAATTTATAAAAACAATAAGCCCAAGGGCCACATCGCTCACCTGAGCTCTGGCTATGTAAAACTTAAAGCAAAAATCCTTTCAGTATTGAAAAATTTAAATTTTAAAGCGGGTTCAAGTGGGATCATGATTTGAATCTACACCACATGGGGATGCTTCCATATAACTTTGACCAATCATGGCTTTGCTGTTCTTGTGAAGAAGATTTTTAAAGATTTTCCACTTGTATTCCTATGTTGTTTAACTTTGAACCCTGGCCACCAATCATAGTCCCACCCTACCCCTTGAGATTTATCTTTCCTGGTCCAGTGGTTCTTGAGAAGTAGATTATTAAAGATATTCCCTATATACTCCTATGTTAAACATTGATCGGCCATTGTGGCCCCACCCTATCCCTGGGGTCATGATTTGAACAAACTTGAATCTGCACTACCTGAGGATGCTTCCCCAGAAGTTTCATCTTTCCTGGACAAGTGGTTCGTGAGAAAAAGTTTTTAAAATATTCCCTATGTATTCCTATGTTAAACCTTCACCCCCATCATGCCCACAAAACCCCTGGTGGTTTTGATTTGAACAAACTTAATTTTACACTACCTGAAGATGCTTCCACATAAGATTCATCTCTCCTTGCCGAGTGGTTCTTGAGAAGATTTTTAAAGATTTTTCCTATGTATTATTAATTTAAATTTTGACCCCCCTCATCATGGCCCCACCATTCCCTCGGGCTCTTGATTTGAACAAACTTGAATCTACACTACTTGAGGATGCTTCCAAATGAGTTTCATCTTTCCTGGACCAGTGGTTATTGAGGAGAAGATTTTAAAAACATGTCATTACTTTTAGGATATCCCCTACTTATTCCTATGTTAAACTTTGATCCCCCCCCATTGTGGCCCCACCCTACCCTCTGGGGTCATGATTTGAACAAACTTGAATCTACACAACCAGAGGATGCTTCCATATGAGTTTCATCTTACCTTACGCATTGGGTTCTTGAGAAGATTTTAAAAACTTTCCGTATGTATTCCCATGTACAACTTTGACCCCCCATTGTGGCCCCACCCTACCCCTGATGGCCATGATTTGAATAAACTTGAAATTTCACTACTTGAGGATTCTTCCACATGCGTTTCATCTTTCCTGTTCTAGTGATTCTTAAGGAGAAGACTTTTAAAACATGCCACTACTTTTCACTAATTCATAATTATCTCCCCTTGGGATAAGACATAGCCCTTCATTTGAACAAATTTGAATCCCCTTAACCCAAGAATACTTTGTGGCAAGTTTAATTGAAATTGGCCTAGTGTTTCTTGAGTAGAAGATGAAAATGTTAAAAGTTTTACAACGACGCCGACGACAGAAAATCGACAAATTTTGATCAGAATAGCTTACTTGAGCCTTCGGCTAAGGTAAGCTAAAATTAGATTACAACATTTCATTTCCCTATGTGAAACTTTGTTTGTAGATACAATCAATAATAGGTCAAGTGCCTCTCGAGAATTTTTCATTAATATATGGAAACGCCAACACTCTCCGGTGGAGAGCTAGAAATTTTCTCAAATACTAGATACAGCAAAACTCGTTTAGAACGAACACAGAAATTGCGAATTCACGAATATAGGGAAGTAATCTTGGATCACTAGCTATGTAGATTTAACGAATTCCTTTTACGGAGATAATGAATTAAGGATATACCAAAATAATTTTATAGATCCCAAAAAACTTCATTATAAGAGAGTTTTACTGTATTTACAGCAACTGAGCAGTGAGGGATCTCTTTCGTAACAACACATCCTGTGAAA